GTGTTACTTACTTATCTACGCTGCTTGCTTATTAACTACGTTAATATAATATAATATAGTATAAATTATTAATATAGAACTTTAAAACTAAAGAGTAATAATATAAAAGTAGGTATTAATGGTGTACCGTACTTAGGCCCTACTACTGACGTGGGCAGGTTTTATGTAATAAAGATGCTCCTGCACTATTACAGTATCTACCCCTCTTCGTCGGATCGACTTATCTACTGTCCGGTTTTAATAATGTTGACAGATTAGGTTCTACTGAGAAGCTAGAAAACATTTACCAACAGCTCATTACACCAATGAGTCTCCATATCTTTATTGACTGATCTTCCCCCGCTTTTTCTCGTGAAGTCGATGGGCTTGCTCACAATGGTTAGCATACCCTGACAAGCTCTCCCTCATGGCATGAGTCTAACTCGATTAATATTTGCAGGAGTCAGGCCTGTATTGCGTTTATGATGAAGCCAAGGATTCGTCTCATGAGCAATCGACGGGAGACCGGCGAGTAGTGGAGTATAACCTATCTTCTCATCCAGTAGTATTATAACGATCGTTTATCTAACGACAAAATAAGTATAATTACGGTACATGGCCTAGGAGCGGACCCCGATTATGCCTGGATCCGAAAGGAGGACACTACCACTGGTGGTCTCGAGGGGAGCGTTCACTGGCTGAGGGACTTGCTGCCCGCCACCCTCCGTCGTGGCAATCCTAGCGTCAAAGCCAGGATATTCTGCTTCAATTACAAGTCTCGTTGGATCGGTGCGAATCTTGAAAAGCTGCATTTTGCGAGGATTGCTGACGCCATGCTTGATTGTATTGCCAATGAAAGACGCAATGTAGGTACAATACCGCTCCTCTTGCTGCTTCTCACTCTTCGAGAACTTACTAATTACCGTGGGTAGTCAGGTACTAACGGTCGGCCGCTGATATTCGTTGGCCACTCCTTCGGCGGACTTGTTATAGAGAAAGCAATAGTGCGGGCATCAGTTGATCAAGGACCATATCGTGGCTTGGTTGATGCTCTTCGCGGCGTCATTCTTCTAGGGACGCCTCACCGCGGATCTAATATTCAAAAAGTTGGCAGCATTTTGTCACAAGGTGCGGCACTGTGCAACTATGGCGAGTCTCATCTCATCGTTCTCGTTGACGAGACGTCGGTTGAAACCAAGGACATGATCCACGACTTTGCGAAGATTATGATCCAAAAGGGGCTCATGAAGGCAAGAGCAGTGGTCTGCTTCTTCGAAAACAGGAAAACAAATATCGGAAGCCGTTTACCTGGAAAACCAAGCCTAAACACCCTGGTGAGCACCGACCCCATTTTAACAATGTAAATTAGTGAGCGGAAACTGATCATTCACGCCCGCACAAGGTCGTTAGTGAAGACTCTGCATCAATTCAAGGCGCCGAGTTATTCGAATTAGATTCAGACCATTTCAAGCTAAACAAGTTTGCGACGTCTGAAGAGCCGAACTACAAGGCTGTCTCGTCCCATATTTACAGAATTGCAGCCGGCGAATGTGAACTTGATGAAAAGGAGAAGGATTGCTTGCGCGCTTTGTATAGTGGTGTCACTGAGGCTCAAAGCGATTACGATTCTGTCGTGACTGTTGCAGGATCTCGAGTCTCGGGAAGCTGTGAGTGGATTCTACAGCACGAGAAGTATCGTGGCTGGCTAGCGGGAACAGAATCTCGGCTGCTTTGCTTGCATGGCGCCCCAGGGATAGGCAAGACGATGATTTCCCTGTTCCTGATTGAAACACTCAGGAAGCAGGCCAAGCATACAGGAGCTGAGCTCCTGGCTTATTTTCTTTGTGATTCAAAAGACCATCGCCGACGAACCGCCACACAAATTCTTCGACGGCTGCTTGTTCAAATACTTGAACAGCAACCCAGCCTTTTCAAACATATCATGGATCGCTTCTCCAAGAGAGGCGACGACCTCATCAGTGACCGTGATGCCTTGTGGGGGGTTCTGGAGGACGTACTGGGAGATGCCAAGTCTGGGCAACTCTACTTTATCCTCGATGGCTTGGACGAATGTGACGCAGAGTCACAACACTTCCTTCTTGTGAAGCTCACGAGCCTTTTCCTTTCCACTTCAGTGGCAGCACAGGACATCTCGATCAAGCTCATTATGACGAGCAGACCCAGCACAGACATGGACATATTATTTGCGGAGACTTCCCCCGCAATATTGGACATTTCAATACATTCTGGGATGGTCAACGCTGACCTAACAGCATACATTGACCAAAAAGTTGATGTGATAGCTCGAGAAAAGAGTTACCCGGAAGATCTCGCGAAAGAAACGAAAGCTGCCCTCCGCAGAGGGGCAGAGGGAACTTTTCTGTGGGCTTCACTTGTTATTCAGGATTTGCGACGAGCTGCTCTCTTCGAGGTTGAGGGCATACTTGGCAATCTCCCTAAAGGGTTGTACGGAGTGTACGATTAAATATTGTCCAGGATGGACAAGCATGCCGCTGAACACTCGCGGCAAATACTTTGCCTTGTTATGGCCGCCAAGCGACCATTATCTCGGCAAGAGCTTGCAGCAGTCATAATATCGGCTACAGAACGTCGGCACGATGAGGATCGGGCCAAAATGACACCTCTTAACAGGTATCTGGATGCTTTTAAAGTATGCCAGCCTCTTTTGCACCACGATAATGACCACAATACCGTCCGGGTTTTCCATCAGTCTGCCCATGATTATTTTATGAGCGACCATCTGAAGACGAGCCTTGAGCTGTCTCACTTTTATTTTAAAAAGAATGAGGCAGACTTTCTCATATTTCAGGCCTGTTGGGAGCACTATTTAGCAACCTTCTTCGGAGAGCAAAGTGTGCTGACACACGGCACGGAGCCGGAAGAACGATCCACCGTAACCACGTATATCATCGTACAGCGTAGCCAGCACAGCAAGATAGTTCTTTAATTAATTAATTTATCTTATTATTATCCTATATATTATTAGGTTATAAGCCTAGCAGCGTTCTAAAAATAAAAGAAAAGCTACTAGTTTAATCTAGAAAGTGTTATCTACCTATATTAACTACCTTATTATATTATATAAGCTAATAGTTATAAAATAATATAAAAAACCCTTAGAGGGATAATATAGGATATATAACTAAAGGGATAAAACTAATTTAAAGTAATTACCTTCTTTTTATAATAAGTTAAAAGAAAGAAGAAAGAAAATTTTTTACTATAAAGTATACTAATTTCCTAATAATATTAGAAGCCTTTACGCCCTAATAAAAGGATATAATTACTTATTATAACTTATAACCCTATCTACTATAAAAGATATAGGGTAATTACCTCCTAAATAAAAAGAACTTTCCCTTTTTTATATATATACTCTTATTATTAAAGAGGAAATATAGGACTAAAGCTATAGATAACGTCTACCTTCTACTATAAAAAAGCCTAAGTCTCTTATATATAAATAACTAAGTTACTATAGAATTAGAATTACCCTTTATCTAAGAGCTAGTATTACTATTTAGACTTAAAGTTATTATAAGATTACTATTACTATTATTACCTATTTAATAGAACCTTAAAATGTCTAGTAATTAATCTTTCTATACCTTATACTTCCCTAAACTAAAATCTAAGCTAAAGTATAGTCCTAGCCCTCTATTACTACTAATATAACCTACTATAAAGCTATCTTTCTTAAAAGATATCTTTACTAAAGGTTATAATTAAAGTACTAAAACTTAAGTTAGAGAGTAGGTAGGTTAGATAGAGGCTAAGAATAACTAATTATCTTAGACTATAAGGGCTAGGCTATCTCTTACTTTTAGGTTAAGGAAATAAAGACCCCTTATTAGTAACACTTAGTAGTAAGAGTATTACTAAGCTAACTACTACCTAGTAGAAATCCTAGACTATAATAACCTCTATTATTAATACCTACCTTAGAGATAATATAAGGGAAGTTACTAATAGGAAAAGAATAGTTAAAGAAGTACTTATAGTACTAGAGGAGTATTATAAACTAAAAGGCTTTATAGTCTTTTATAGTATTATAAATAAACTCCTTATACTTACCTTTACTAACTATAGTATAGTAGAAAGGTATATTATAGTACTAATAACTATATAGGCTAACTAGGAGTTACTTAATAAGGACTTTAAGATCCTAGGCCCTCTAATAGTCTACCTTTTCCTTAATAGGCTTAGTAATAAATTTAGTGCCTTTATAACTAAGATTACACTACGCCTTATCCCTATATAGGTAATTACTAGAGAAATCACTACCTTAGCTATAACCCTACTATAAGCCGCTAATAGTGCTACTAATATTACAAAAATTAAGTAATATAACTCTAAATACTCTAAATAAACCTCTATAATAGTAATAGTACTAGCTACTAAAGATATTAGAAAGTAGTACTTTAAACCTACTAGAGATTAGAAACCTTAGTACTATAATTATTATAAGAATAGTACTTATATAACTAAAAGATATAGATTTCTATACCTTAAGCTTTAAAGGAAAAGATAATATACCCTAGATAATAATAATACTAACCTTACTAATACTAGTAATAGGTAGGTAATAAGTTTTAGATAGTATATTAAGCCTTCTAATATAAACTCTAACCTAATATAACTAGCCCTTACTATTATATAAGGCCTAGAATAGAAAACTCCTAGTAGTTAACTTATAGATAATACCTTTATAACTATTAAACTAGGTCTTAACTTTAGACTATTAGTGTCTATTAACTAGAAACTAATATTACTAGACTTTAGGGCCTTAAATTATATTATTAAATATAGAGGGCTTATATAAGAGCTATCCCCCTATATTAGTTAAGAGATATAAAATATAGCTAGTATTATTAGCTAACCTATAGTATATAGAATAGTGACTATTTCCCCTAAGGAGGATAGTATAACCCTAAAGCTATATAATTATATTTTCTAGGAAATAGTACTAATAAACCTACTATCTATTAGCTAATTTATAAAAAAAGACGTGCTAGTAGTGTTTAATAGAATAAGAGCTATTATCTCTAAGAATAACACTATACTCTTAACTATAAAAGAGACTACTAGAGTATATATAACTAATTACCTATTACTAGAAGCTAGTATAGCTGCCTACTTAATTAAAGACCTAAGGTACTAAATATAGTATAATTAACTTAGATATCTAAGTAAATAGAATATTACTAGGCTTATAAATATATTAAATAGTATAAAACTAGTACCTAGAAGTAAATTATATATAGGCTATATTATAGGCTAATATAAGAAAAGACTATATATACACTTAATTAAGTAAGGGATATACTTACTATAAAGCCTATACCTAGATATAATTAGACCCCTCTATATTAAGTCTTAGGATAAGAAGAAATACTAGATTACTATTATTAATAACTATACTATAATAGTCTAGCTCTTTCTAATTACTAATAAATCTAACCTTATAAGTACCCTTCTCTCCTTCTTTATACTATAGTAATAACCTAAATAAAGATACTACTATATCTACCTAAATAAGGGGGGGGAGAATGTTATTATATAGCTAAAAGAGACCTATTATAGCTTTAGTATCTAGTTATAGTATAGTATTACTAACTAGTACTAGTAAAATAGTCTAGCTAAGGCTATAAATAAGGTAATCTAGGATAAACTCTTCCTAACTATATATAAAGTAAAGATCCTAATAAGGTACTAGTTAATTATTACTAAATCTTATTATTTACTATAATAATATACCCTAACTTAAAAGAATAACACCTAGATAATATTATATAAACTCTAATATAGTAATAAACTAGACATTAGTTATCTTTAAGTTATAGGTAGTAAAGGCTTCTAAAAATTAATATAAAAGCTACCTAAGATAGAACCTAAATTAATCTTATATATTCTTTTAGGATATAAAGGGCGCTTAAATTATATTATAGTTAATAAAAGGAATCCTAGTATTCCTATTATAATATATAATATTATTTTCTATAAAAAGAGAACTAACTAACTTCTTTATAATAAATAAAGCTATATTACTTAAGGATACTAAAGATAAGCTTAAAATATACCTAAGTAGCCCTCTTAAGAGCCTTTAGATAATTAACTAAATAACCCTATATCCTTAGTAACTCTAATTATTAGTAAAAGCCTAGAAATAGATACTATAATAAAAGGACCTTAGATAATTAGTAAGAGTAGACCTAACTTAAAGTCTAAATTAGAAGGTTATTATAATCTAGATAATAATAATAACTACCTAAGTTACCTCTATAGGTCTAGTTCTAAACACTCTAGCTCTCTACTAGTAATCTAAATAATATTATAACCTATTAAAATAATTAATATACCTAAAAACTCTCTAAAGAATACTAATAATATAATAATAAGATCCTTACTCTCCCTTATACTAAATAGTATCTATATCTAAACTAATAAACTACTAACCCCTAAGTATATAGTAACTAAGTAGTTATTACTATAAGTAGTTCTAGAACTATAAATAAAAAGATACCTACTCTAATCTAATATAATAAGAGCACTAGACCTCGCCCTTTTTAGATTACTAGTCTATAATAAGAAACTAAAGACCTAGAAATAAGCTAGACTATCCCCTTATAATAATAAATAGTTTAATATTATAAATAAAGAAATTAATTCTATATATAAAAATAATATTATTATTATTATAAACTAACTATATAATAAGACTATTTTAGATAGAAAATAGGTCTATAAGCTCAAGTATAGTACTAATAATTAAATTATATAGTATAAAGCTAGATATATTACTAGAGGCTTTACCTAATAAAAAGGCCTAGACTATAATAAGACGTTTATAAGTACCCTTAAGATATCTACCTTACGTCTACTACTCGTGATAGTAGTAGTATATAACCTAGAAATTAAGTAAATAGATATTAAGACGGCCTTCCTCTATAGACCTATTAATACTAAAGTATATATTAAGATCCCTAAAGGCTATAGGGAGAAACACCTAGATAAGTACTAAAAGCTACTAAAGTCCTTATATAGACTAAAATAAGCCCCTTATATCTAATATATAACACTTTATAAAACCCTATAAAAACTTAGCTTTAAACCTATCTAACTAGACTAATTACTATTTATTTAAAAAGATAGACTAATAATTATAGTTTATATTAATAATTTACTTATTATTAGAAAAAATAAAATTATAATTACTAAACTTAAGAAAGCCTTAGCTAATAAGTATAAAATAACTAATATAAGCCCTATCTCCTACTACCTTAGTATTAATATATACTAAGATAGATAAACTAGGACCCTAATAATATCCTAGTAATAGTATATAGAGGCTCTATTAAAAGAATATAATATACTTAATTATATACCTTAACTACTACCTATAAATCTAGTAGCTAAGAGTGTAGAGAAATAACCTATTATCTCTAATTAGTAATACCCTAGTATATATCATAGTCTAATATACCTATCTAACTATATAAGGCTAGATATTAGCTTTATAGTTAGATATTACTACTACTTTATAGCTATACTTACTATAGAGTATATTATAGGGCTAAAGTGCCTCCTATACTATATTAAAGGCACTATTAACTATAAAACAGTCTTTATAAGCCCTAATAAAGGCCCCTAGGTTTAATATAATACTAATTATATTAGTTATAAGCTAATAAGAAAATCTATTAGAGGATTTACTATCTTTATTAGAAGTAGAGTTATATCTTAGCGCTCTAAGCTTTAAAATATAGTTATTTACTTAATAATAAAAGCTAAATATATCTCCTAAAGTAATATTATATAAAAAGTAATTTAGCTCTAGTAAATCTATTAAATTATTATAAAAACTATTAGTAAACCCTTAACCTATATAAAAACTATTATTTAAGCTAATAACTTTAGTATTATTATATAAGTATTAGAAATATATAAATACCCTTATATAAAGTATATAAATATTTAATATTACTAGCTATATAATAAAAATATACTTTATTAATTAAGTTTTACTTAGATTCTAAGTATAGTAAATATAGTAGATATAATAATAAAACTACTACTAAAACCCACTTTCTTAAAGTATAGGTATAACCTAGGCTTATACTAAGTGCCTTTATAGCTATAATCTTATAAAGCTTACCCTCTAAAGGTATTATAACCTAATAACTATTATAAAAAAGAGTATACCTCTTAAGGATCTTATAAGCACCTAGGCATTATACCTCTACTAAATAACCTTTATATACTAACTTTTATTTTTTATAAAATTTAATTTATATATAATTTACTAAAAATATACTTATAACTAGTAAAGGATATAAGATAATATTATATAGAGCTATAATAATAATAAAATAGCTAAGCTACCTTATACTATAAGATCTATTAAAGAATACTAATAACTATAGTATATATGTTAAATAAAGGCATACTAATATAATTAATAAGTAGGAGAATAGCCCTAGTAGAACCTTAATTCCGTGGTGACCTAGGATTAAGTAGGAGTGCTAATATATAGTATAGAGCCGGAAGAACGATCCACTATAACCACATATATTATCATATAGCGTAGCTAGCACAGCAAGATAGTTCTTTAATTAATCAATTCATCTCATTATCATCCTGTATATCATCAAAGTGGCCACCTTTCAAATGCGCCTCTGCGCTTATACGCGCCTGAACATTTGCTTTCCCATGCTACACAATCCCCGGAGGAGCTTTTTGATCACATTCAATGGCCAAAGACGGTTAACGGGACGTCTATACTTAACGAATGGTTGTTCGCAGAGGTCAAGGCCGGGCGGCTTAAGGTCGTTCACTGCTTCTCGAGCACGGAGTCGAGAGCTCAGCATTTGACCTGTCCGGGTCTGCCGCAATTCATTATGCAGCTGCGTACGGCTACATAGAAATCGCACGAGAGCTCTTGGACAGAGGCGCCGATGTGAACCAGGCTACCAGTGTTGAAAAAGAGCCCCGGGTTTTTGTGCCCCCTTGGACTTTTATGTCCATTTACTTCGACCTTCAAGACTTTGTATTCGATATCAAGTGGGAAACCGATGATAACCACAGCTGTGGTAGGGTAGCTTTGCATTGTGCTGCTGCAGCAGGAAAAGCCGATATGGTTCGGTTTCTCCTGAGCCGCGGGGCCAATATTCTGGCCACGAGCGATGACCACTGCAGTGTTGTCGAGCACGCCCAAGGCTTGTCAGTATGGCCACTTACGTGGAGGATCGCAGTGGTCTATCTTCTCTTTCTCAAGGGCCTTTTTATACTGTTTTACTGGCAGATCAATTTCGCGCGCCAAATGAATGTCTTCAACTTCTCATCCTTAATTCTACTATGGGATTGCATTCTTATCCTTCATGCCAGTTTTCTTATTCATACGACACTTGTTCGACCCGCACTCTTAGCTACAGTCTCTCTCCCGCCACTCCTATCCATTGCATCAAGATCTATTGAATTCGGAGTCCTCACGGCCCTGTTGTTTTCGTTTTACACCCTCGCGAGAAGAGATACCCGCTCTTCTTGGATGGATGGGGATTGTTTTTACCTCTTTCCTGATTGCATTTTTCTTCTCCATCATTTTCTTCTGATCCATACGCAACTCTTTCGACCATTTGTCTTCTCTGAATTATCAGGGCTAAATCCTTCGGTATTTATTGTGGCATACTGTTTGGCGCTTGGCATCGTTATACCGCCTCTGTTTCCTTTGTCCGCAATCGCAGGAGGGTATATCGGAGTTTCTTCAGTGAACTGGGATTGCCTCTACTTTTTTCCTGATTGCGTTGTTCTTCTTTCTACCATTTATCTCATTTACACACGGCTCTTTCGACCATTTTTCTTCCCTGCAACCTCAGCCGTTCCTCAAACCCCACGTGCTCTCACCCAAGTACGATGTGGTGAGGTCGGGATCCTTATCACTCTATTATCCTTGTTATACGCAACCGCGAGCGGATTTGCCAGCTTTGTTTTTATAAACTGGGATTACGTCCGTATTCTTCCCGCAGCTTCACGTATGGCTTTCGTCGCTTGGCGGGTGGCATCTATACTCACTTGGCCCTGTCTACTGGCTTTTACTGCTTTATCCTGTTTCTACATCAATGCCTTGCTCTGCTGGCCACCTCTGTGTCTTTTCGTTAGAGCTTTCCGCTGGACTGGTATTGGAGGGTTAGCGTGGCAAGTCGATGGCTACTACTTGCTGGACATGCTATTGCCGGCCGAGGGTTTCCTCTGGTTGGGTTCGTGGGTGCTATATTTTCTGGACTGGCCTCGCATGTACAGCATGAATCCCAGGCTCCCGGAACGCCGCACTAGGATCTGGGGATTTTGGATGAGAAGCCCTGTTAGGACGGACAACGTCGTGTCGGCGGATGAACATCGGCGGTGTCCTATGCAGCCTGGGTGAGAGAGTCGCCGTCATGCCCGGGTTAACCTGTCATGGGTAAGCTAGGTCGGAGGCCATTCCAGCAATATTTTTTTTACATTTCTTTTAGCTTTGAAAGACGGGTTCATTCCCCCCTCCCCCTAGCCCATCGCTCTCCTTAAGCTGCGCGCGGAGCTCCATGACAATAAGCAGCGCGGAATGCATTGCAGCAATCATGAAGAAGCTCATGCCGCGAGTCACCTGCCTCCGAAGATTATCTGCTGCTCCAATCGGCGATTGCGCGCAGGAAGCGTGCATCCATGTGCGGCCCGCTAGTGAGGTCCAAATCTTGAGGACACAGTCCACAACTACGACTCGCGAGTATGCATATTTGGCGTCTTGCATTGCTGCGACAAAGTATGGCACATGCAGAGCCGTGAGATAGCGATACATGATGATGTCGAGAACGCGCAGCTCGGTGCTGGTCAGCGCCTGCTTGGCGCCCTGCCCTCGGCATGACTGCAAGCGACGGCCCAGCGCCTTGTAGCTGGCGGCAATTCGCCGTCCAAACGAAGCGTCTCGTCGTATGAACCGCCAGATGACACGTCATTCAGGAACCGCAACGCGTCTAGTCGCTGGGCAAAAGTCTCCCGTAGAGCCAGCGCCATGGTCATTTGTGTGCATTCGTGCGCTGGCCGTGCCACAGGATCGAGCTCGAGCAGCTGTTCGTTGTCAAAGTTGCCGGGTGTCTTTGTATCAAAGTCGCTCATGGACAGAAACACCGACCCTCTCGAGCCAAGGCTCGACTGGAGATTTGATTCGGCAATCGTGTTCCACAAGCGGCGGTGCATCTCACAGGTGAGAACAGTTCTTTCGGGTAGTCGGGCTGGATCTCTATGAAGCCCCATATACATGGCCCGGCGGATTAGCCATCCCATTGATATCGACATGGAATCTGCAATGATGCCGAGCCGCTCCTGCGCAAAAAGCAATAGAATATTCGTTTGCACCGTCTGAATGTCTAGTCAGGCTTTGGACTTGGGCTCTGTCAGCCACAGCTGTGCCTCGTATAACCACTGCATGGCGCATGTCCTCAGCGAGAATGGTTCGTCGTAAGTAATTGCGCCCAGCGCGAGCACCAGCTTTACTTGCACGAGAAACGCTGTGTCAGGTGCTGACCCTGCTACCCAGAGAGCATCGTACTGCTCTCGAAAGGTCGGTATATGCAGAACGCGGTATAACGATTCGGTGTTTTGCAGGTAATTCTCAACCAGTCTGTCTGCGAGCGGCTTTTCGGGCAGCGGAGAAAGCTTTGTCGGCGGCCAAGGAGGCGATCGTCTGGCCTTGATGAAGCGAGCTAGTCCCTTGCATCTTGTAATACCTGCCCAAGCCTCAGCGCCTCGCTCTTGGAGCTGCGCGTCTATCGTCTCAAAAATGTCGCGAATCTATCAACTCAGCCATGCACAGGAGACGACACAATAGTGAAAATTATTTTTTTTCTTTGCTTACCAACAGAACTCCAGTCACGCACCAATGGCTCTGGCCAAACATTCGGGTCTTGTGCATCATGCTGCGCGCAACAATCGGACCACCATTGCCAATTGGATTTTCGCATTGCACATGGAATACGCCGCCAAGCTTTGAGCTGGTCGTTTCAATTGACGAACTCGCGGTCGCAAGGGGGCTTGAGGTACTGGACTCGATGCTGACTCTTGATTGTTGATCTTCGAGCTCTCGAATTCTTAGCCGAAGTCGCTTTGCTTCAGTCTCGTGAGCAAAGCCCGAGTCAGGTGGAGACTACGTCGACTTGGGACTTGAATGAAGAGACGTGAAAAATGATTTCGCTCTGCTGGCCGCAAGGCAGGGGCTGGGGACAATAGGCTGATGCGGCTTCCATTGTTCAGCGTTTGTCGAGGATGCATCATGCATTTGTTGAGACGTCTCAACCGGCCAAGTCTCGTATGCGCAGTCGCCTGTTCTTGACCGAGTACAGTTGTTACACGGAAGTTTTCTGTCGCATTTGATTTTTCTCTTGCGACAAAGTATGCAGGCCCTGCATCCCATGTTAGGCGTCGCAGCTTCTAGCATCGTAGCTAATGGACTTGCACAACGGGCCGTCTGCGTCGCTTCGCTGGTTCAGACATGTTTTGGATCAATTCAGGAAGAATTCCCTGCAGTTTCGGAATTTGAATGCTGTGAAGCCGATTAAAGATTATTTTCAAATGTTCGGATACAGTTTTAGAGCCCAGGAACAAGATGGCAGTATGTAACCCCAAAAAATTGCGCTACCAGTAAGTCCCGCCAAGCCGTAACCCGTTTGCATAAATCCGCCAATGAAACGGCTTTATTTAATGGGCTCTTACATGTATGTATGGTATGACCAGATATTTCTCGAGCACAAGACAGATATGATTATTTGCAAAATATAGAAGAAACTCTTTGATTTGGGTTCGCTCAACAAGGTTCAATTGCTGTGGTTCAATGTCGGTGCCAAAAATGTTCGCCGCTTTCTCACCATCTTACCACCAAACAGCGGCGAACAAGCTGTCACCCACGGGGGTGTTACCGGAGGCTCACAGTGGAAGGAAGGACTAAACTACTTCTACTTTCCGCGGATTACTTGTTGCAACGGGTTTGGCCTGGGGTAAGCCTCGCCGCCAACTTTTTCGTCTGGTCCCAGCCGGCGGACCCCGAGGTTCGGAGGCAAGTTTGGGGCTCGCAGCGCCTAATATAAGGACCATGTCCCTTAATAACCGTGCCCTCGTCATTTTCGCAAGTAGTCCGATTCCGCAGCCTGCTGGCCTACGAGCCAGACTTTTGATCAGTGTTGGTTAATCAACGATAATTATCGTGAGGTTATTGGTCTTGATTCGTGTTGTTGATTGATGGTTATTCTACAAGTCAGTGTGTGTAGAGGCCACACAAGAGCTATCATACAAATCAAAGTGGGGCCTTTCTGGCTTCCAGCCAATGAGAATTCAGTGCCTTGATAGGCACAACAATTAGGGTGGTTGGGTGGCCTGGGAATTCAGCCATCAGGGTGCTCGATGGGCGACTGGGCCCAAATATCCGACTGAGTCCTCTTTCGCAAAAAGCTCCCTCCCCAGATTCACGGAGGTTGCCGATGCGGACAGCGCCGTCTCGTACATGGAGTAAGCTGTACGCCCTGAATATGATCCTCTACGTACCTGCATAGCCCTCTATTATGACACTGCCCAGAATACGATCGCCGCCGGACAGTTTACCCCTCTCATGCAGCGTCATTGTACCGCGGAACTCGGCCGTGGAGTGCATGGTCGGCCAAGTCTTACTTCTCCGCGCTTTTCGACGAGACAAAGCCTGCCAAGAACTGGCCAGTCTTGCACCGCGACGCGAAAGCCGTTATTCGCAGCTCGCCACGTCTAAATAAGGGCTCACAACCTCGAATGTGGTACTCACGATACCGGCCGACGCCGCGATCGGCATATGTCGAGCGTATTATGAATGCTTCTTCTAAGCCTTTGTAGTAGATCATATTTGCCTGAAGTATGTTTCTCCTGACCAAGTGCGCTTGCGTGATGTAAATCTGGGCGCTCATCTCGTTGCGTCAATTTACACCAACTCGATATTTATGGCCGTAGATTGACGATAGCTTGCGGCATTGACCGCCTTTTGAGATTGATGGAGACGCTGTCATCGCCCGGAAACAGACCGGTGGACGAGCTACGCTGGGGCATTTGATGGTCTCTTCTCCTGCTGCCCGCCGTGCCGGCTCACAGCAGCTTCCAAGGGAGCCAAATCTTCAAGCACTACTTCCAAGGATCTCAATTCATCACAGCTCAATTGCGTCAAGTCAGAGATTTCTGGCGTGTTACTCGCATTCGCATTCATCTGTCTAGCTTTATTAGCGAGCTAGTCAGGCAGAGGCTACGAATTGAGCACCAAACGCACCCTGCGATTCAACAGCACCTCCAAATGACAAAGATAAAATAGAAGCGCCATGCAATCTTTCTCACGTCATCTGTGATCAATACTGACACAATAATAATATAATAATATTGCAGACACTGCTCCGGTGAAATGTATAGCCATGATGGCAACTCCATCGGATACGGTCATGAGACGGTGGCGGGCGTTTGAAGTGCGGCGCAGTTCAATCAGGCAGTGTATTTTAATGAATTGAACGGTGCGCCCAAGATATCAATCACGCAACTAGATCTTGCGATAGCCGGGCTAGTAACGAACGACGGGCTGCTATCAGCGCCGAGCGTTATAAGTGGCTGTATCTAATACCCTGCCGATAGCCTGTTACACTTTTGAGAACCTCGTCATCTGATTCTAATTATATAATTATACTGAATGCGAGCGCCGAGCGATAGCCGGCCCTTAGTCGCCGTCCGAAATGGCCATAGTCTCATCTGAACGGCAGTTGGTTCAGATAAATTGATGCAGATAGTTTGGTAAGAAACGCTGCCGAGAATCCGAGACCCTCCAGGGCCATGAACACCTGCCGTATCTGTACCTATTATGGGCATGGGGTGTGGACTATTCGTATGCCCAGCATCACTTTACCAATGTGGCCTGAGTCCGCCTAGGCTGCCCAGCTCCGACACCCTGGTACCCCTACTCGTTCGCCGATTTCCGTCCAATCGGGCGCTGCCTGCTCCATCAATTGGACCAGGATCCTCGGCGCAGACAGGGGGCTTTGACCCGCGAAAATGACACAGCACATCGATTATATGTCTCGATTCGGAGCTGCACGTTTGAACCAATCCGATGCCATAGTTCGACCCCGGAACCCTCAGGGCTTACCGAACCCCCTGCAGCCTACCTCCATGCAGAGTCGACCGTCTCATTAATTACCACCGCGTCTGGTGATATGTCACCACCGACGCCTGGTGGAGTAGACGAAATGAGAACCGCCATCCCCTTATTCGTAAAATCCGGTGATATTGAACATTGTCCGCATAAAAAGAAAAGAGATCGTATATGTGAACGAATATAGCCGTGATGAAGGCATACTGTAGAAATGAGATAAAGGAGAGCGATGTGCCGTAGGTGTTTCCAACCATCCAGGCTCTCACATCTGTTACACGTTCTTTTCTTATAAATTCTTTTTATTTTTCTTACTCACTCTTCGAATTTGAGCAGCGATGCTCCTGAATACTATCATTACACTCATTTGGGCAGTGGCCTTTGCTGCTGCCTTTCCTTCTCTTTCACTGCCAAAATGGCAGTCGTCACGTCGCAGTGTTGAACCGGCAAAAGTTGAGCCACAAGCGAGCCAGGGGGCTCCCGGTCCTGTTGCTGAGCAGGGGGGTTTCTGCGGTTGGGTTGCCGTAGAAGTACCTGTCGATGAGGCTACCAACAAGCAGATCGACCAGCAGGCCAACCCGCAGGCCAATGAGCACACCAGCCAGCAGACCAACCAGAAGACCTCCCAGCAAACCAACCAGCGGATCTCCCAGCAGACCAACCAGCACATCTCCCAGCAGGGTAGCCAGCAGGGTAGCCATCAGAGCAGCCAGCAGAATGGCCAGCAGAATGGCCAGCAGACCGGTCAGCATACCGATAACCAGAAAGGTGACGAGTCCTCGGCTCGCAGCCAAACTTTGGCTCCCAGCGTTCACTGGACCTGGGACACCAGTGCTTTGAAGAATGTTGAGCCTGTCGCCCCCAAAGAAAACTCTCAGATGTATTATGGTATCTCTGGTAAGCAGAATTTAGTCTTGTATAAAAGTATGGCCGCTGACCTTGATATAGAACCCGCAAAGGAAGGATACTTTGCCTTCCTTACCTATCGCTTCACGCTGCCTTCGGTCAACCTCGATCACTGTGACCACGTCGATGTCGAATACACCAAGGAGAGCAAGCTGTTGCTCAAGTTCAAGACTCCAGAGTCTTTCGAGCGCGCTACTGAGAGCTGGGATACTGACAAGGAATTGCTGCTCATCGCGACCGCCAACGGCTGCACCGGCCCATCACCCGAGGATCGCTGCTACTTCCGGGCGACCAGCCTGGCGGTGAACAAGGACAAGCAGGTGGTTGTTGCGTCTGGTGCGCCCGAGCACCCTGAGAATGTGATGGACTCTGCTGAAACCGAATGGGGATTCTGGACACCACGCGGCACGCCTGCAGGACATGGTAACTCGACCGCTACTGGCAACTCCTTCAATTACACCAACAATTCCTCCGGAAAGTAAGTGAATCTGTAAAAATTGTCCTGAGAGTAACAAGATGCTAATTCATTTGTATAGAGGCCCTGGTTCTACTGCGCATGACAGCCATGGATTGGCTGTTGCTTCCTTTGGCCCATCCTTTGATAGCACACTTGATGACGCTCTCGGATATCACGAGCTTCCAGCTGGTTCTGAAGCTTTCCTTCAGCGCATCATGACCGAGGGTGAAGCCCTCGACATTGGACGAAACGTTACCAAGGACAACTGTGTCGAGCCAGTCTCGAGGCTACGCCGACGCCGTACCCTTCAAGCCCGAGGATGGTGGTCAAACCTCTGGAACGGTTTTGTCGACGCAATCAAGACTGCGTACAACACTGTGGCAGATGCCCTCTCTATTCAGGGAGATTTCAACGAGCCTGTGTCTTGGGACCTGCCGGGAGCCGATATTCCTAGAGAGGTTTCTCCCTGGAGCGCCAACTCGATTGCTCTGTTCAAGCACGAAACGATCTCCGAGTCTGGAGAGTTTCAAGAGCATATCAACATTTACTGTGTTGACTGTGGTGTTTCTGGTCAAGCAGTCTTTTCTGGAAAAGCCAAGATTACTCCTCTAAAAGGCATCTTTGACGGTGAGCTCGCGCTTCGCACCAACATGAAGATGATACTCAAAGTCGGTGTCGATGCGGAGATCAAATACAGCAAGAATATCGAGCAAGATCTCTTCACCTTTGGTCTGCCCGGTCTCTCCTATGGAATTGTGACAGTGGGACCATACATTTCGGTGGCTGCCAAGGTCGGGCTGGAGGCTGCAGCCAAAGGCAAGCTCCTGGTCGGAGGAGAGATGGGCCTGACGCAGGCATCGGCGACGCTTTACATCTTTGAGCCTAGCAGAAGCACATCTTCCGGATGGACTCCCTACTTCAAGCCTGTCATGGAGGCAGAGGGTGAAATTATGTTGGCGGCAAGCGCAGCGCTTCCGATTAAGATCAAAGTTGGCCTCAAGGTTGCCTCGTTCGAGACTGCACTTGGGCTAGTGGAAGAGCCTGCCATCAGCGCTGTTGCCCAGGTCGCGGGCTCAGCGAGCTACAACAAAGAGACTGGCTTCCAAGGAGGATTCAAAGAATTCAATGGTTGCGCTGGTATAAGCACCAGCCTGAACTGGAGCAACAAGCTGTCTCTTGACATCCTGGGAATCTCCTCGCAGGTACTTCACAACACTGGACTCCAGCCCATCGCAAAGGGTTGCATAAAGTAAGTACAGCAAATTACTTTGACACTAGTCCGCACTAACAACATGTCAAGTTTCAAGAAGCCAGCCGTATCGAGGCCGGAGGGTGCTGCGTTTTACGAAGTGTCGCAGAACAAGATACCTGCTGAGTCGCACCGACTCAACACAAGCTCGCCCAACAACTCGACAACCAGCTCGCTCGTGAAGGTGACAACCATTTCTAGTACCAGCTCGACAATCAGCTTGCCCATTACATTGACAACCATGTCGAGTGTCAGCTCTCCAACCAGCTCGCTCATCAAGTTGACAACCATCTCGAGTGCCAGCTCTACGACTAGCTCGCCGACCACACTGACAACCATTTCGAGTGCTAGCTCCTCAAGCATCTCGACGCTGAACCCCAAGGTCAGCTCAAAGATGAATTCGACGGTCAGCTCGACTGTGAGATTATCGATGAATTCGACAGTCAGCTCGTCGATGAGCCTGACAACCAGTGCTCCCATCAAGAACACAGCCAGCTCGTTCATCAGCTCGACGATCAGCTCTCCCGTCAATTCAACATTCAGTTCGCCAGTCAGCACAACAATCAGCTCGTCGGTACACTCGTCAATCAGCTCGCTGATTACTTCACCAACTAGCTCACCTGCCAGCTCACCAACCATCTCACCAACCATCTCACCGTCCAGCTCATCAAGCAGCATCACACCCGCATCGACGGAAACTGCCAGCCCGAAAGCCAACACTACTTGCATTGAAGAAGAGCCAACCCCTCAAATCTTCAAGGATGGACACAAATTCGACCTGGCACCGCTGCTGACCACCACGGGCACCAGCATGGTGGCCTCGTGCAACGATGGAAACCTTTACGTCGCTGCAGCAAGCAACGAAACCAACAACAAGTGCAACGCCATGTGGCCAACCTCGAAGGAATCCGTCATTCCGTTTGACGGCAGCCTGAATGTCATGCACTACTATGCGAGCGCCATGAGCGCCGTCGGCGTCTCGCGTCTGCGCTCCAGCCCCGCCTACAAGATCCCCAACGATGCTGTCGTTACAGTCCTGGTGCCTGCGCCAGCCGCGGACGGGTCCTTCTTCTACATGGCTGCTGATGCCAGCGACAAGGTGTTCTATCCCATTGTGTGCGAGTTTGCTTCCAAGGCGGTGCCGCGCGTCTTCTTGGCCAAGGATCTGAGTGCCGGTATCAAGACGCTCGAGGGCGGAAGCGTTGCGGATTCCATCACAGGTGCCAAGGTGGAAAGGTGCTTCGGCCTGTCGCTGTCGCCAAAGCTTTAGTTTTTGACCGGCAGGAGTCTGCGAGCTTTCGTGTTATTTTTTCATGTACATATTGTTATTCTAAGGATACCTGACATAATCGGATTTTTTTTACTTTGTTGCTCATAGCCTTACAGCTGACGTGCTACTATGCCCATGGATTGACGGCCATCTCTGCCATCATCGCCAGTCTGTGGTTTTTTCTTAGACCATGTAAGCAGAGTCGAGACATGCATTCTACTCTAGCTTGTACAGAAAGCCATGACTAGACAAGGCTCAAGTGCTAAGAAGGGTTTTTAGCCGTAGCATCGCGGCCGGCCCGCATCATCCTGGCAGCTGATTCGGCACGTCGGTCATGGCTGCTTACGGCCCCTCAGCCATTGGCACCACCATGACTATCGTCTCCGATCCTGATTCCACCAATAGGGATGGGATGAGAACAGCATGGCCTAGGGATTGCGAGTATAAAGAGACATATCTAGCCGCCAGGGCAAGTGCAAGAAGAAATTCAGAGTCTCAGGTCGATCAACATCTATTTATTCCCAACCTGCAAATTCTTCCCGAATTAAACCCTACATTTACCAACACTCCCCTTGGCTCTCACCCGGTGCAATGCTTGTACAGACTCTTTTGACTGCAGTCGCGGCTGCGACGCTGGCCCTCGCGGGTAGCCCAGTGGAAAATGGCAACTGGATCGAGGAGCACCCTGGCTTCAGCACGCAGCAATGCGAAGGCGGCCAAGTGAGCGGCGATACCTTTACTATTCCCAAAAAACCAAACGGCAGCGGGGGTGGCTCTGGCTGTTCCAATGGCCATTTACGCGCCGAGCGCCGATACAAGAACGACTACTCTTCCGGCACGCATCAATTTGGTGGCGTCTTCAAGATCAATTCCATGTCTGGCAACCGCATATCCATCAAGCAAACCTTTAATGGCAACTCTGGCCCGTATTTCATCATGGGCGTGGAGCAGGGCGGTCGCCTGTACAGCGTCGAGGGCGGCAAGACGATTGCAGAGGGAGTGGCCAAGGTTGGCGCCAGCGTCCGCATCAACACGGTGCACAATGTCAGCCTGAAACGCTTCAGCGTCTACGTCAATGGCAAAGAGATGTTCCGCGACGACAATGCTCCTGGAGGCAGCTTCTACGATAAGATTGGAGCATACACCACTAATAGCGGTAGTGGCGATCTAAGCATTACCTGGTCGGACGTGCAGTTGTGGCACCGCGGATAAATTTGACATTGCTATTGTGCGTGGGACTGATATTTTCTGTTTTTTTTTTTTTTCTCATGTTCCTTTTGGCCAGATTCCATCATAGCTCAAGCTTCATCATTTGCCTGCCAGGACACAACTAGGCCGTTTAACTACCTATAACTGCGAGTGATTGCCATGCCGGCCCTCTAATCAGCCCACCCCGTAGCGCCCCGCTTTATAACCCGTCTTGCCCGTCTACTGCAAGGAATTGCTCGGCGCACATTTTTTGCCACATCAAGCTGCCAGTGTCTGTCTGCGAAGCGAAAGATCAAAACAGAAATCATGGCACAGAATAAAATCTCAAAGAGGAAGCGAAATGCAAAGGCGCAGCAGGCGCAAAAGGCGGCCAAGATGGAGGCGTCTTTGGCTATCGCCGCCACGGATGCTTTCGAGCCCAAGAACCTACACACTGTCATTTCCGGCGAAGAGCTCGACATTGCGACCGACACTCTAACGACGCTGGCCAAGTATCCCAACCTGACTAAATCAAAGCTTTGCAAAGACCTCCGCGTTGCCGTTTACGACTTTCGTCAATCTTGCACCACGGGCGTCAACTCGGCTGGTATGTGACCACAGGCGGGCGGTTTCCAGACGGGACGGGACGAGCGCTTACATTTTCAGTAGAAGGCGCCAATCTCACAGCCAGAGTCACCGCGGCTCTTAGCGACGAGAAATACCTCGAGGCGAGAATCCTTCTCGCAGAAATGCGCCTGCGCAACGAGCAGCCAAAACTCGGTGCGCTCTGCCGCTGGGTGCGCGATCTCGACGTCGTCTCCCAGCCGAATGGAGTCAGTCTCGACAGCCCTGAGCGATCTCCGAAAGATAAAGAGCTGCTCGTAGTTTTGGATGCTGTGATGCGCGTTAGCTGTCCGGTTGATATGAAGGCGCCGCTGCCCTCTGATCCTACCTCGCACATATCATTCCAGCCGTCTTGGGACTTGCGCTCATCCGGCTCACCCGACCCAGTTTACGCTTCTGTACTCGACAAGACCATTTTTGCGGAAAATCAAGACGTCATCACGTCATGCCTTCGGGTATTAGAGACGGTTGCCGGCCACATGCGAAAACCGCCGAACCGTCATCCTGCGATCTTATACACCACGAAGCCCGATACCATACCGCTCTCCTCCGAGCACTCCCCAATCTCATATCATAAACATCCGAACGTGCCAGAACTTAGCCTAATGAAGGGTGTGCTTTCCTCCGAGGAATGCAAAGCAATCATCGCGGCTGGTGAAGCTGTAGAATTCTTGCCAGACGAGCCAGTTCGGGATCGCGGCGACACATCTGTTCTGGCGCACAATTTTTACTGGGTTATCGACACAGATTTTCACGATAAGCTATGGGCACGCGTCTCTCCATTCATTCCCGCTGTGATTGATGGAAAGAAGGCGCGTGGTCTGAATCGTCGGTTCCGGGTATATCGTTACGTCCCAGGAGCTGAGTACAGAAGCCATATTGACGGTGCCTGGCCGCCGTCGGGTATCAGCGCCGACGACAGATATATTTACGACGACTCGCCGCCCGAAAAGAAGCAGAGTTCTCTATTCACGTTCCTGCTCTACCTGAATGATGAGTTTGAGGGCGGCGAAACAATGTTCTTCTTACCGTCGCCGCGTGAGGGGACGTTGAATGCATACCCAGTGCGGCCAGTCATGGGAGGCGTTGCGCTATTTCCGCACGGCGAAACCAAAGGCGCACTTTTGCATGAAGGCACCAGTGTCACCAAAGGTGCCAAATACATCATCAGGACAGATGTCGAGTATGATGTTGAGCCTTCAGAGCAATGAGCGCATCGTCTGGTCGAGTTTCCGTGGATCATGGTCTACTGCCTATGAAACATGTCAAAAAGTACGAATGAATGATCAAGAGGTGACTGAAAAAGATGGAGTGGCAAACCAGTGGGCAAAACTTGTTCATGTTATACTTGGGCTAGGTACCTAACGCGGTGCTAAAATTTGCGGGTAAATCAAAGTACCCAAGCTTCGTGGATCACGGAAGCCAAGATTACAGCAAAAATGCAAGAAAAACGCAAGCCGTTGCCATCCTGCATTACATGTTCACTCGGCGACAGCACAAGCCTTGGTGTCTTCAACACCCTTTGCACCGCTTGTGATACTGCATGCAAAGACTGGCAGATATCCAGGTTTGCATGGTAGATTTGCGCCCCCGCCCGCAAGCTCCATCGCCAGATGAAACGGATTGGTACGATTTACGCGAGCTCAGCTGTGCAGTAATAGACTGCGCGAGTTGCTTTCGGCCCGCACATCAACGGTCCTGGAGCTGGCCGATACCGTTGGTCCAAAGCTTGATGAGCGACTTGTCGAGGCCCGAGGATATTGACGAAAGCGACGTTACCTCATGGGTTGACCTTTCTTTTACTTTAAGCGTGTCGATTAAGACTCAGTTCACGATCCTCTACACAAAACAAAACCAGTGGTTTAACGAATTTATTAGCGACTGATCTATGGTCAACCGCTAGCCCTAACCCAACGACATCTATTCATGTGAAAATTGGTGATGGAGAGCAAGGGACGGAGACCCATTTCAGGACGAGATGCTGCTTAAACTGCATGAACTGTTAGCTGGTCCCTTCCAGCACGATACTCTAGCTGGAAATCGAGAAACCTACCAAAGGACAGGCTGCCGTTGTTGTTGGCGATACGCTCGGCAAGGTTGACATCGGCGTCGTAGGTTTCGTCAGATCCACGCAGGCGGGCGCGAAGAATCGGGACCTGAGCATCGCCCTCAAGGGTGAAGGAGATGTCTTCGGCGGACTCGGAGAAATCTGATGGTTGAGAGCATGTTAGCTTATGCTTTCACAATGTGAGCCGCTGCTGATGTGACATTGGGGCATTGCTAGACGACAGCCCGGCATGACTTGATGAAAGTTTGAACTGAGGAAAGAAGATGTGCTTACCTGCGCCATCCCATGCAAAGCGCCCGTTGCTGTTGCTAAGGCAGCTGTTCAGGTCGAGCTCGCTGTCGACCTCCTCGCCGTTGTCGTTACGGAGAGTGGCGCGGAGGATGTGGCCATCATCGACACGAATGTTGGAGCTGCTTGTGTGAAAGGACATGTTGAAGTGTATTCTTCTGATACAAAGGACGAATTTTTCACGGTTTGAACTGGGAGAAGGAGATGCTGCACCTTACGACAAGAAGCGAAAATATATAGCCAAGAACTGTCACACCGACAAAACACCATACCCCTCATTTATGAATAAGCAAATCGATTATCACATAACCCCTCATTCTCATGTATCACGACATGGTACCCTGGGGGATTGCAGCTGGTCATGGGCCGTTGGACGGGTCCAGTGGATGTGGCGGTATGCATTACTGCCCAGGCAAATTTCTACTTGACCGACAACCAACATGAAAACAAGAGCAAGCACGGGGGGGGGGGTTTTTTTCTATTTATCAACCACAACACAGGGATTGTCAAGCGATTTGTGGCTGGAAGTGGCTCGTGGCTCTTTACACCAAAAGCCGGCGGCTCTTTGCAGGCGGCGGCGTTGACTCACGGCCGAAGACGATAATGATTCGTATGTGCGTTCCAGAGCAACCGTTCAGGGATAGTGATAAAGAGTCGGGGGTTAGCAGTAAGAGATGAGAATTAAAATGGTTAGGATCAGGGCTGTGGCATGTTATATTTTGGTGGTGGCCGACAAATCCCACTAATTACTGGGGTGTGGTGCGTTTGTTTCGTATGCCTGTCGGGTATTTAATTCTCTTCCCAGCAAAAAAAGTAACCCTTGTCCGATGAAATAACAGTTTGTCTTATAGATGTTCACCGTCTACGTAGCCATCTCACTTGTGGATGCACCTCAACTAAGGGTACCTCAGTGAGTTAAGCTAAGGGAGGGCACCCTCAGGCGAGGTCCCCCCCCCCACTTTAATTTTTACGTTAAGATACCTACTCTTTTCTAATCAGTTCCTAAGCAATTAATAGCCCTTTAAATATATACCACTAACTCTTATCCTAACTACTAACTCTAACTACTAACTACTAACCTCTTACCCCTTAACCCCTTAACTACTAACCTTAACTAGTTCTTAACTAGTTCTTAAAAAAAAGAGTAAGTACCTTATCGTAAAAATTAAAGTGGGGGGGGGGGCCTCGCCTAAAGGTGCCCTCCCTCAGCTCAACTCACTAAGGTACCCTCAGGTGAGTTATAACCCTATCTCACTTAGTAATGTAGCCAGAAAAAACCCATGTCAGGAACCAGCCTAATTAGCCAGGGACGGATAAGGCCCTATTACATCTACTACCTTATATAAAAGTTATATATAAATAAATTATAAAATAACTAATAAGAAATAATAAAAAAAAGAAAGAAAAAAACTTTATATTATTTATAGAAGAAATATATAAGAGGTAGAATTTTTTACTTATATATGATTTATTATAGGTTTATTAGGAAATAATGCTTTAATTCTTGTAGGTGCTAATTCGCCTAGTTGCTGGCCGGGGTGGCCGTTCCTGACATGGGTGGCTGAGTAAATTGGCTACTTCTAGCCACGAATCGCTTGACAATTCATATTGTATTTCGAATACGCGTTATGAGATTACTTGAGGGATTTTGAGATGATAGAGTGCCTTGACCAATAGAAAAAACCGCACCAACGACAAGAAGTATCCATTGCCAAGCCAGTGCAAGCCTAATAATGGTTGAAGATGTATCCCTGGGCTTCTTTGCCGGCGTGATGCCGTGCTGCGTCCAAGGTCCGCCCTTTCCAGATGCTGGCAGAACAGACGGCATCTACACCGATGATGCCTGCTGCTACGGCTACTACGAAGAGATAAACAGAGATAATTAGCTTCGATAATACCAACAAGCTCGCAGACAAGCATTGATTGAACTGGGGTCTGAACTACTTGACAGGTCCCCCCCCCCTTCCTTCTCCCCTTTTTGATTTGGCAATCCACCTGCTGCCTTGTCTAGCTGCGCACCACCAAGCATCATGCTAATAAATGGAAGCCATCGCAGCCAGCCAGATATAAACAGCATATACAAAACTTTTCGATGAATTTCATAACCTCAGCTGTCTGTGTTTAGGAGGGCATTATTCGTCCCAGGCTCCTCAGGAATTGTCCCTTAGGTTGAGGCTGATGGTGTGGCTGGTAGCAGTCGGACGCTGGCAAGAGCGCGCGCCCTCTGTAATGTTTTAGGGCCTGATCACGACACTTATTACTCTTGTTAGCCTCATCAATTCTCGCCCTACGGTAGAGCATTCTTAGAGGTCCAAGGTAGGGATATTACTTTATAGATGGTACACGTGGCTATTGGGTTCTTTGCTGATTCATGCTGTATAACGCGTATGAATGTGCCATGATTGTGTATTTATACGCCTCGGTATGTCGCTGCTGGTTCTCCCACTTGAGTAATGTCCATCATTGCAAAATGTTATTGATCTAGCAGAATAGTTGGCGATACCGGTCCCATCCGTACGTGTACTCATGCTGCGCGTCTACCTTTCTTTTTTTTAGCTCTGCCCTTCGTCCACTAAAAACATAGGCGTAGCATAGGTACAGTGGGTATCGAAAAGTGACGGTTTAAAAAAAAAAGACATACTACCCTAAAGTAAGATACGCTAACTAAAAATAGCTATAACTAACTAAATATAGTTTATAAAAAAAAACTAAGAGTATATTAAAAAGCTTTAGCTTATAATTATTTAAATTATATATAACGTAGTTAATAAGCGAGTAGCGTAGATAAGTAAGCGGCGCACCTACACTAGAAAATACCGTC